CCTCCCCCTCCCCCTCCACACTGCTAACTGGTCCCCAGTGCCTCCCCCCCCACCAGGCAGCAGCAGGAGAGAGGGCCTGAAAGGTCAAAGGGCATCAGAGCACCAGGCTTCGTGACCCCCTGCCCTTGCTGGTGTCGGGTGCCCGGCTGCCCCACGGGCCGGGGCCTCGCTGGCCCTCGCTGGCCCTCGCTGGCCTGCTCACCCTCATCCCCAGCTCGATGTTCTCCGCGCCGTACACCTCCATGCCTGGGTCCAGCAGGCCGATGTCCCCAAAGTATTCGCGGTCCACCACAAATGAGCAGCCGATCATGGCGGGTGTCCTGCGGAGACAGAGGGCAGTGGGCGTCACCTGCAGGGCTGAGCCCGCCACACCTGTAGGGCTGACACCTGCGGGGCTGAGGGGCCAACGCCTGCAGGGCTGACACCTGCGGGGCTGAGGGGCCAACGCCTGCAGGGTGGACACCTGCGGGGCTGACACCTGCAGGGCGGACACCTGCGGGGCTGAGGGGCCGATGCCTGCAGGGCTGACACCTACGGGGCTGAGGGGCAGACACCTGCAGGGTGGACACCTGTGGGGCTGACACCTGCAGGGCGGACACCTGCGGGGCTGAGGGGCCAACGCCTGCAGGGCGGACACCTGCGGGGCTGACACCTGCGGGGCTGAGGGGCCGATGCCTGCAGGGCTGACACCTGCGGGGCTGAGGGGCCGACACCTGCAGGGCGGACACCTGCGGGGCTGAGCCCCCCTGTGGGGCCACACCTGCAGGGCCTGACTGAGGACAGACACTGACAGCAGACAGACATCAGACGACAGCCGAGCAAAGGCCCAGCTCACTCTGCACTCGATTTTGGCTGCAAAGCCAACCATAGCGAAGTTCAACACTGACTTTAACCGCCGGCCCCAGACAGGCCACATTACATCAGGGGTGGCTTTTCCTTCCTCAGCCACCACCACCATGACCGCGATGTCTGGTGGACGGACACCGTTTCCCATCGAGCCTGTTAGCGCTAGTAATGATCTATTATTATTATTATTACTCAGTTCCAAAGTAAACTGGAACCCTAAGGCGATCGCAGCAGAGTCAGCTCGCTCTGAATTTACTTGTGCGAGAAAAGACAACAGAAAACAGGAAAGCTGAGGGGCACCGTGGCTGGAAGGGCCTCAGGCCTGGGGTGCTCTCGGGTTGGGGGTACACTGGCGGTTCTTGCGGTCTTACAGCCTGCAGGGACACGGGGGAACTGAGCTTTCCCTTCCCCGGTGCGGCCAGGCCCTGCCTCTCCTGGCACCCTCTGCCTTTACCTCCTGTCTTCTGAGTATTTAGGTTCCAACAAACCCCCTCGAAATGTTGAAAGAGGGAGCAACCCACACAGCCTCGGTGAGCTGGGGAGGTAACTGGTGGGCTCCCCACACAGAGCTATTTCTCAGCGCTGAAGGAAAGGCCGGGCCATCCGCCTCCCAGGAGGAACAGGCCTCAGGGAGACCGGCATGTCGAGGCCTCCAGGGGGCGCCGGTGGTCCGGGAGGAGGCAGGGCCAGCCCAGGGTGGCCTCGGAAGCACAGCTAACCCACCTGCATTTCCCGAGGGCTGAGGTCGGAGAGGTCAGGTGGTGAGCCTCCTCCGTCCTTATGTGGAAGGACCTGCATGCTGGCAGTGCTGGTTCTGGAACACTGTGTCCACCCGGGGCCCGCAGGAGGCCCACAGGGGTCCACACAGACGGGTCCACACAGGCCCACACAGGTCCACATGGACGGGTCCACACAGGTCCACACAGACGGGTCCACACAGGTCCATACAGACAGGTCCACACAGACAGGTCCACACAGACGGGTCCACACAGGTCCACACGGGTCCACACAGGTACACACAGGGCCCACACTGGTACACACAGGTCCACACGGGGCCCACATGGGTATACACAGGGTCCACATGGGTCTACACAGCGCCCACACGGGGCCAACACAGGTCCACACAGATCTACACAGGGTCTACCTGGGGCACACACAGGTCCACACAGGTCCACACGGGTCCACACGGGGCCCACACAGGTCCACACGGGTCCACATGGGGCCCACACAGGTCCACCTGGGGCCCACACTGGTCCATACTGGTCCACTTGGGGCCCACACTGATCCACACTGGTCTACACAGGGTCCACACGGGTCCACACAGGTCCACACAGGGCCCACACAGGTCCATACGGGGTCCACACTGGTCCACACAGGTCCACACAGGTCCACACGGGGCCCACACAGGTCCACACGGGGCCCACACTGGTCCACACAGGTCCACTTGGGGCCCATACTGATCCACACTGGTCTACACAGGGTCCACACAGGCCCACACGGGCCCACACGGGCCAGGCCCACACTGATTGGGCTCCTTCGGGCACTACGTGCCACAGGTCATCACCTTCCTGATGTCTGGCTCTGAATCTGCCTGGCCCAGCCCAGTCAGACCCCCGCCACCATCTCGGCTTCCCTCCGGCCCCTCCTCTTCCTCAGTCTCCACTTCCCTACGTCCTGCACTTGGTGGCTATGACCATGGGGGAGCGTAGATGCCAACGTCATAGTTTACTTAAATTTGGAAACCACTGCGGTGACTGGGGGCTGGGGGTGAAAGGCGGGGATGGGGGTGCTTGGGACCGGGGTGCTGGGGACCTGGGGTGACAGGTGGGGACCGGGGTGCTGGGGGCTGGGGTGACAGGCAGGGACCGGGGGGTGACAGGCAGGGACCAGGGCACTGGGGCTGGGGGTAACAGGCGGGGACCAGGGTGCGGGGACCTGGGGTGACAGGCAGGGACCCGGTACTGGGGACTAGGGGTGACAGGCGGAGACTGGGGTGCTGGGGACTGGGGGTGACAGGCTGGTACTGGGGTCCTGGGGACCCAGGGGTGACAGGCCAGGATTGGGGCGCTGGAGGCCGGGGGTGACAGGCCAGGACTGGGGTGACAGGCCAGGACCGGGGTGATGGGGGCCAGGGGTGACAGGCCGGGACCGGGGTGATGGGGGCCAGGGGTGACAGGCCAGGATTGGGGCGCTGGAGGCCGGGGGTGACAGGCCGGGACCAGGGCCCTGGGGCCCCCGGTCTGCGGGAGGTCTGCCCCGGCCAGGAGGCAGTGTCTGCCCAGGGCCGGGCTCCCAACCGCAAGCAGTCTGCTAAAGGCCCTGAGGTCCTCCGGGGGGCGCTTGTGGAAGCTGCAGGGACAAGGTCTCCTCGGTTGAAGAGCGGCGGGGCTGCTCCCTCCAGCCTCCTGGCTGGCTCCCGACGACGGGGCGGGGCGGCAGCCGCGTGCTGGTTAGCTAGCTTTCAGGACCAGGTGTTAATGGCTCCCAGGCCTCCCCTGGGCTTCCTGAATTTCACTGACCGATAAACGGTCACACACAAGGCATTTGTTTTGCCACTAGTTGGGATCCTGGAGACCATTTCAACCCCCTGCTCCCTGACCGGCCGGCTCTGGGACCCATCTGTGGCGCGGCACTGCAATGGAGCTGGGGCCCAGGCCCTGCCGGGCGGCGTCCACACCCAACCCAGCTCCCAGCAGAGGCCCCAGGGGCCGGGCTGCTCACCGTCAACATCCTCGGTGGTGGAAATCAGAGAGGTGTGGGCTGGAGCCCCGTGATTCCACCTCACCGCGGCCCCGCAGCCCTGCCGGGCCTCAGGCTGCCCTGGGACTTCATTATCACGGAGATGTTCTGCCAGCAGAGCAGGGCCACGCCAGGCCTGAGGGTGCCTGGCCCGGCTGTGCTGATGTTCCGTTTTCACAGTCTGTCGGGCAGGGCTGCCCACCGCCACCCTGAGCTCCTGCAAGACCCTCCCGCAGGAGGTGCGGGCCCAGGTGCTGCGAGGTGCTCTTAGGCCCTTGGGCATGCTCTTGGGCATGGCGGCCTCCGCCAGCAGGGTCCCCCTGAGTCACCCAGCCCCTGCCCTGCCCCTGCCCTGGAGATCTGTCAGGGCCTGAGGTGCAATTCACTTCTGGGACAGTGCCGGAGCCTAGCCTCCCCGGGGACAAGGGGAGCCTCTGGAATTTGAGGCACAGGCTCCCCAGGAGTTCATTGGACAGGGGTGGAGGGAGTTGGGGAAAGGTCTCAAACTACAGGAGCTCGGGGGTTGGTGGGACTGACACAGGGACTTAGGTGATTCAGCCGTGCAGGAATGAGGCGTCAGTGAGACATGTCAGGGAGCAGCTGGGTCTGGGCTGAGCGGAGCTCCCATGCCGCTGGGCGCAGGCCCTCAGCCCACCTAGGCAAGCGGCCCTGGCCAGGGCGCCTGCCTCCCGAGGCATGCGCATGTAGTCGTGCATTCCAAACATGTACGAATCCCTCTCTTTAAAGGAACTAACTCGAAAAATAAAGTCTTGGCAGGACAGTCTGTGGGGATCTGATTAAATAATCGTGGGTCTCTGTCCACAGCAAAAAGCATTCCCATCACTGGACAGTGCGATGAAAGTGAACTATATGTCATGGGTAGAGACGGGAGGGAGGGACAGAGGGAAGGGAAGAGACAGTAGAAAGGAAATGTGCTCATTACCTGACTCGTTAAAATAACCATAAATTTTTAAAAACCCAGCTGGGCTCCTATAATCCTAGCTACTCAGGAGGCTGAGATCTGAGGATCGTAGTTCAAAGCCAGCCTGGGCAGGAAAAGTCATGAGACTCCCATCTCCAACGAACCACCAGAAAACGGGAAGTGGTGCTGTGGCTCAAAGCGGTAGAGCACTCGCCTTGAGCTGAAGAGCTGAGGGACAGCGCCCAGGCCCAGAGTTCAAGCCCCAGGACCAACCAAAAAACAAACCATCGATCCTCAGGCCCTTCTTTCCTCTCTCTGTCTGGGCCACGGGATTCGTGTGCCAGCACCGGCTCCTTGCTCTGTGTCTCTACCGCTGTCTGTCCCCCCGTCTCCCTCTCTTGCGCTTGCCTGGCCCCCAGCCCCCTGGCCTCAGGCCTGCCGTCTCCTCACCCTCACCTGATGGGCGCGGACTCATCCCCTCGGTCCAGCCAGTCCTGCGGTGGGATGATGTACATGCACCACAGGCCCCAGTTGTAGCCGTGGGCGGCGTTGGCGTACTGCTGCACCTCGAACGTGTTGTACTTGATGTTGTCGATGGCAGGCAGGATGATGCGCCTCCGGTCCTCTCGAATCCGCGTGAGGGCAGGCTCAGCCCTGTGGGAGACGCGTGGACGGTGAGGAAGCCCGCGGAGGACTCTCCCGAGGTGGGGGCAGCGCCCGGAGGCTTCGCCGGGGCCTGGCTTCGTCCTCCTGGGGCCTCCGCAGCACCCGGCCCAGGGTGGTCTAGGCTGCAGGCTGCTCAACCTGCTCACCTTGCCCTGGAGGGTCACTTGGGGTCAGCTGGGGACCTTAGGCTCCCAGCACAGCCTCGGCCTGACACCATCCCCTGTTCTCCCTCTGCACCAGGGGAGGCGTGTCCAGGGGTTAGCATTTGCTGAAGGCCTGTCATGTCTCACTCTGTCCTAATGGTGGAATTCATCCACCAACCACAAACTGAAAAAAGCCCAAGTCTCAGGGAGCTCATGGTGCAATGTGTGCTGTGTACAGCATTCAGGTCAGCCTGGTGTGTGTTGGTGGGGGGGACAGGGGGGAAGGGGACAGGGGAGGAGGGGGAGGGAGCAGGGGGGAGGGGGGAGGTGACAGGCAGGCCTTGTGGGAGCAGGCAGGGTAGGGGTGAGGTGACCACCCTTCCCAGTGACCTGTCCACTGTGGAGGTGATCTGGACGGCTGGGAGCAGCATGAGCTGTCCAGCATGGAGGGGGTCTGGAGGGCTGGGCAGGTCAGCTGTCCAGCATGGAGGGGGTCTGGAGGGCTGGGCAGGTCAGCTGTCCAGCGTGGAGGGGGTCTGGAGGGCTGGGCAGGTCAGCTGTCCAGCATGGAGGGG